AAATAGGATGAAATTCAATAAGGACAAATGCAAAGTACTTCATTTAGGAAGGAACAATCAGTTGCACACTTACAAAATGGGAAATGACTGCCTAGGAAAGAGTGCTGCAGAAAGGTATCTGAGGGTCATAGTGGATCACAAACTAAATATGAGTCAACAGTGGTCTAGATAATTAGTCCTCCCACAAGTGCAGGGGACTGGACTAGATGACCTCCCGAGGTCCCTTCCAGTTCTGTGATTCTGTGACCCAGAATTTGCGAACCGCTGCCATAGACCTTCAAATCAAGTTCAAGGTCTCAGTCCTTATCTTGAAAGTGCTCAGTGGCTTGGGCCTAGGATATCTATTAACTTGGGTTTGAATAGAGACTGGGAGTGGCTGAGTCTTTATACATATTGAATCTATTTCCCCATGTTCAGTATTCTCACACCTTCTTGTCAACTGTCTAAATGGGCCATCTGGATTATCACGACAAAAGTTTTTTTCTCCTGCTGATAATAGCTCATCTTAACTAATTAGCCTCTTACTCCACCTTTTCATGTTCTCTGTATGTATATATATAATCTTCTTACTATATGTTCCATTCTATGCACCCGATGAAATGAGCTGTAGCCCTCGAAAACTTATGCTCAAATAAATGTGTTAGTCTCTAAGGTCCCACAAGTCCTCCTGTTCTTTTTATGGTCAACAACTTCACTTCTCTGGAACAATAGAACTTTTTCTACAGTAAGAGTAAAGTAAAGTCTCTCTATCCATGCATCAGAGGGTGGAAAACTTACCAGCAGCCAAATGGGCCCTGATAGTTCAAAACAGTTTTGACTCTTTCAAATGTAATAGCTAATCTATTGGTAGTGATGGAAGATGGGCTGGGGTATACACCCTTTTGATCTGTCTGGATGGAGAATTCTTCCAATTCATCTAGTAGGTTCATCTCCCCAAAAGTTTCTGCTTTCTAATAGGTTTCAGAGGAACAGCCGTGTTAGTCTGTATTCGCAAAAAGAAAAGGAGTACTTGTGGCACCTTAGAGACTAACCAATTTATTTGAGCATGAGCTTTCGTGAGCTACAGCTCACTTCATCAGATGTATACCGTGGAAACTGCAGCAGGTTCGGCCGATCGTGGCTCCCACTGGCCGTGGTTCGCCGCTCCAGACCAATGGGGGCTGCGGGAAGCGGCGCGGGCCAAGGGACGTGCTGGCTGCCGTTCCCGCGGCCCCCATTGTCCTGGAGCGGCGAACCGCGTCCAGTGGGAGCCGCGATCGGCCGAACCTGCGGACGCGGCAGGTAAACAAACCAGTCCGACCCGCCAGGGGCTTTCTCTGATCGAGCGGCGGACCAGCTTTGAGAACCACTGCTCTAAGGGACAAAAGTGTATGTGTGGGGGGTTGTTAGTGGGTTACAGATTGTTGTAATAAACCATAAATCCAGACCATGATTTTTAGTGTCTAGCAGAGTTCTGAATTTAAGCTCCCAGGCTCATCATTTGTAAGTATTGTGCAGGTTTCCTTTGAGGATGGGGATTGATAGGTCAGATATAAGAGTGCTCCCTTTGTGAAAATTGTTCACCTGCAGGTGATATGGTGTTTTTGTCTTTTATCATTTTCCTGCATAGTGATTGTCTGGTTTCACCCACATAGTTTTTATTAAGGCATTTAGTGCACTGGGTGAGATACACCACGTATTGTGATAGGCATGTATAAGGCCCATGGATCTCAAAAGGGGTGTTGTGGGGCGTGTTGATCATTTTAGCAGTGGAGCTATGTCTGCAGGCTTTGCATCTGTTTTTCTGGCAGGGTCTGGTGCTACTTTTGAGTTGGTGTGTCCTGGTCTCTGGGGAGCTTCCTTCTGATGATGAGCTTGGAGTGGTAGGAAGGTTGTTTGGCCAGAAGAGAGGGTTCAGGAAAGATTTCTTTCAGGATGGGATTCCCATTGAATATGGGTTGTAGTTGTTTGATGATATCCTGTATGGGCCCCAGTGTGGGGTGATACGTGACAAACCCCACCTCTGACTGCGGACCCCTAGTTATTTCTGTACTGAGGCAGGTTCTCTTGGGGTATTTGTGTGTCCTTTTCCATGATGCAATCTACTTCTCTGTGGAGTGTCCTTGTTGGTGTATGTTAAGGTATATATCTTGGACTTTCTTTTTGGAGTATATTCTGTAGTATCTGCGTGTTTGGCTGTAGATTTTTTGGTGTGTTTGGGGTGGTTACTGGATTTGTGAAGGTAGGTGTAGTGATCTGTGGGTTTCTCATATATGGTTGTGTGTAGGGTTCCATTGTTGAAACTGATTGTGGTGTCCAGGAAGTTTATGCTGGTGTGAGAGAGTTCCAAGAAGACTTGTATAGATGGATAGTAGTTGTTGAAGTTGTGATGGAAATCTATGAGGGAGTTTAAGTCATCTGTCCAGAGGATGAAAATATCATTGATGTATCAGGAATATCATTGCTTTTGTGGTGCATATATCCAGAAATTCTTCTTCAAGGTTGCCCAAGAGGAGGTTGGCATATTGAGGAGCCATCGCAGTACCCATGGCTGCTCCCATGGTTTGGACAAAGTGTTTGTTGTTGAATGTAAAATTGTTATGGAAGAGGAGGAAATGGATGAGTTTGGCAATGTATTTGGGGTGGTTATCTGAGTGTTGTCCATTATCTGGTAAATATTTGAGGCAGCCAGCAGTGCTGTCATTGTCAGGGATCAGAGGAACAGCCGTGTTAGTCTGTATTCGCAAAAAAGAAAAAAGAAAAGGAGTACTTGTGGTACCTTAGAGACTAACCAGTTTATTTGAGCATGAGCTTTCGTGAGCTACAGCTCACTTCATCAGATGTATACAGTGGAAACTGCAGCAGACTTTATATACACACAGAGAATATGAAACAATACCTCCTCCCACCCCACTGTCCTGCTGGGGTGGGAGGAGGTATTGTTTCATATTCTCTATGTGTATATAAAGTCTGCTGCAGTTTCCACGGTATACATCTGATGAAGTGAGCTGTAGCTCACGAAAGCTCATGCTCAAATAAATTGGTTAGTCTCTAAGGTGCCACAAGTACTCCTTTTCTTTTTTCTATTGTCAGGGATGTTGGTGTATAGGGAGGTGACATGCATGGTGGGAAGGATGGTGTTCTGACGGAGGATGTTAATGTTGTGGATATTGTAAATTTCCACCACAGCTTTAACAGCCACCACCCATCCATTAAACTCTCTCTAGAACAGCGGTTCTCAAACCTTTTTTTTCGTGGAAATTTTTCATTTGAAAATTGCTGAGGGTCTCAGCAGACCACTTAATGATCTTTCCAAATGCTGTTTGTACCGTTAGCTAACTGTTGTAAAGCATGTTGGATAAAAGCACTATATTCAAAAAACCATAATAATAATTAACTTTTTTTGTTCTACAAATAATTGTAAAATACAATTCATATTTTAGTATCAGTAGTCTTACCTTTCTAATGCGATTGATGTGCCCTCCCTTCCCTGCCACGGCAGGAGCCCCCGAGCTGGGGCTGGGAAGGAGGGGGGGTTCTCTCCCCCACCACAGCAGCCACAGAGCTGTCTCTCCTAGCAGCCGCAATCGTGGAGCTGGGGAAAGTCGCCTCTTTCTCTGGCCGCTGCAGTCCTGCATGTCCCAAATTCCCCCCACTCCCTCTTCTCACCCCACTTCCCCCTCCCACCTACCCCCTATTCCCCCCAAGGCCACCACCTCACTTTACATGTGCGTCTTCTCCAGGGTCATGCGTGGCTCCACTAATTAGGTGGGTGGCCCTTCATTCTTTTGTGTGTGGCCACCCAGGTGTGCACCTTAGAGGGAACTATCCGCGACCACCTGAATGGAGCTTGCAGACCACAGTCTGAGAACCTCTGTCCTAGAACACAGCGTCTCCCTCTTTCTTTCCCCCCATGAATGGAGAGATTTTAAATGGCTGCTTCACTTTGAATGTTCCCTTGAAATATGTGTTAACTACTTACGCTAAACAATCTGTTCTGCTTTGTATTTATCTGAGACACTGAGTGCATTTCCCAGACCTGAACAAGCACTCTGCATAAGTTCAAAAGCTTGTCTCTCTCACCAACAGAAGTAATAAAAGGCATTCCTCATCCACCTTGTCTCTCAAATGCTGTCTTGGCATTTCAACCTGATTTCAGCTGCACCATCATAGAGCTTGGTCCAACACCACCAAAGACTCTCATTGACTTCAGTGGGCTTTGGAGTCAGCCCACAGTGCTTTCTAGCACCTAACTGGGATATTGGTTTAATCTGATTCAGAGCCTGTTTACACTACACAATTAAGTTGATCCATGTTAGGTCAACTTACAGCTACCACATGTCCACACTGCCCTCCATAGACGACATGTGGGGCGGCATGTGGGGTCAAATGCCCCCCAGATTTCTGCTCAGCCTGCTGGGGGGCAAGGAGAGGGGCTCTGTCTTTCTCCCGCTGCTCCTAGCCCCCATCCCCACCCCACGGTACGTTTGGCTCCTGTCCTTGGCAGCTGGGCCCTGGCAGCGCATGGAAGGTGCAGGACAGAACTGCTTCTCACACCAGCTGAGGGTGGATGCTCATGGTCACTGCTCTGTGCAGCACAGTGGCTGCCTGTGAGAAAACTGCTGGGATGCAGGGGCAGCCTGCCCCCTCTGCTCCCCACTTGGGAGGCAGCTGGGCTCCCAGCTGGAGTACCCCACTCACCCCAGAGTGACAGCCCAAGCTGTGAGCCTGGCTCAGGCTTCACAGCATGGAGCCTACCAGCCTTCTTGTCAATTTCACAGCTGCCTCTAGCTCAGAGCAGCAGTCTAGCTCACACCTGTGAAATTGACAAGAAAGGCTGCATAGGAACCATGCTGTGAAACTGAGCCAGGCACCAGGCTCACAGCTGGGGCTGTCACCCAGTGACTCCAGCTGTCAGCCTGGTGCCCACTGGACAGCTGGAGGGGGGGGGGCAGCTGTGAGCCACATGCTGGGCTTAATTTCATAGTAGGGAGGCTATCAACCTTTCTTGTCTATTTCAGGGCTCCAGCTTTGAGCCAGGTGCAGCAGAGCTGAGCTATGAAATTGACAAGAATGACAGCCAACAGCTGATGTAAGTAATGCAGTGTCTACAAAGACAAGGCTTCGCCCTAACTACGCCAACATAAGCCCTACACCTTTTGTGGAGGTGGAGTTATTATGTTGGTGCAGTAGGGCATTTACATGGGCAGGAGCAAGGCTGTAGTGGAGACACTGACATAATTAGGTCCATGTAAGGCAACTAACTCTGTACTGAAGACCAAGCCTCAGAAGGAAGAACACCACCTACTGAATTACAAGCACCACTACTTGGAGCTCCCAGATTATGCTTAGAAGTTCCTCATCTCGTTTGATCTCGTTGGCCTTGTGTGACCCTACTTAGCTGTGAAATGTGAAGGGGTTATCCACCCCTATTTTCCAAACTTTTACCTGTTCAGAGATTCAACCAAAAATGCTGATACATGTTTACATATGCAGCCATTGCTGGAAGTACTGAAACGAGCATTGCTTTTACCTCCACCACAATAAGTGGTTTCGTTCTTTGCTTTAATATTTAAAGAAACAGAATTTCCACTAGTATTCTTTATGTTGCTGTGGGCATGTAGCTTTGTGTGAATACATTTTAAACAGCTATACTATTCCTCTATGACCTCAGCTACACCCACACCTATGGCTTTCACATGTTGTTCTCCAGTTTCTAATTTAGTAAATTATAAACATTTTTTAGTGTTGTATGTTTCTAGACAGTTGCCACCATGGTAACTTTATATATCTTTTTAATAGTATGATTTTAAAACCCACATGTTAAAAAGTATATAAAAAACTAGCATGTATAATTGCATTGCATATTTTGTCAGATTATTTTCTCAGAAACTAAAGTGAAACTAGAGAGGTTTTCTTTCTTGATTTTTGTTTTGTTTTGTTTTCCCTTACAACTTCTCTCCATCTAATTCTGCTCCACTCGTGCCTTTCCATGTGTTGGTGGCAGGTTGTTTTGAAGAGGCACAGCATTAAGGAAATCCAGGATGGATTAGTCAGTGAATGAAGTGCCAGAAGCACTGTTAATATCTATGTAAAAATAGCTTTGGTTATTTCAGAACTTCCATCAAGCAGTATTAGCTTGTAGATTCTATTGCACTTAAAAGACTGTACCTCAGTTCTCACAATTTCCTTTGAAGTCTGGATTCTTAGCCACAACTTTTATTCAAGATCCTGGGGAGGAACGGAGTCCGAGTGACTTTTTTTTTAAAAGATTTTTACACAGACTTTTGATATTGGGCCTGTGGTACTAGCAGTGGTTCTACAATTATGAAGTATTGCGTATAACATCATCAGGTAAGTGCAAATATCAGCAAGAATAAAATGTAGGGATCTTGAGTGTTTGTAGAGGAATTGGAGGTGAAGTATGGTAAATTTAAACATACTAGTGTGAATTTCTCTGACCCAGAACTCTAAGTGTATATCATTCATAGGCTGATCAATAAGAAACTGTAGTCTCCTAAAAATAAAGGAATGATTTTGATCTCACTTGTAACTCCGTAGATTCAGTCAATGGATTTACTCCTAATTTACACTCTTGCAAATGAGATCAGAATCTGGCCCCAAACCTTTAGGAAGAGATTGTATTTTATTTTCAATGTAAAAGTTTAAACAGGTATAATCTGTCCTACCTTCTAGAAGAACATACCTTCTGGCTGTTTTTATTGTTTTCTTTTTTGTGGCAGTTCAAATACTATATTGTACAAATTTAGCAGCTCCAACATCCTTTGGAATAATATACATAATCTATGTTTTTAATTAGAAATCGCTGGTCTCCTACAAATTACCCCATTATTGTTAGATATTCAGGCTAGTGTTGCTCTTTAAGGATGTAAATGTGTAGGAGTCTTCAGTTTATCCAAAAATATTATTGGACCTTTGAGTTTCTAGGCCAGATACTCAGCTGTTGAAAATACCTGTAGCTCATTGAAATCAATAGAGCTGCAGCTATTAATAGTAACTGAGTATCTGGCACTCTGTGTTTTGTTTGCTTAGGTTTTTTGGCTGTTCCTTTTTATTGTTAATCAAAAAATCTCATTCAGATCAAGCAAACTGTTGTTTTGGGCTTTTTAAAGTGTGACATGGGGAAACTGGATGTCTGTAGGGATAGGTACTGGAATATGGAGCATTTAACCTTTAGTTACTACTCTAGTTTATAGGTATATCTAATTGTATGCCATTCTACCTTATAGTTGTACCTCTGATTGGTACTTTCTGATGATTCATCTTTGGCATCTGACTCTTTGGTGGCCAACAGAGAAAACGTTTTTGACGCTCCTGCCCCTACCCCAGAGCTGCAGAGGAGAAAACACATGCACACATACCTACGGCGCCCCCTGAAAGATAGCGCCCAGAGTGACTGCTCTGGGTGCCCACCCCAAAACCAGCCCTACCTGTCTAAAGTAAGTTTCAAGGTCTCAGTCCAGCCAGCAGGTTCTACATCACAAAACTCTTGACATTTAATTGGAACCTTTTGGAAACTGAGCTGGGCTGAAACCTTCCGAAATGGTCCTGCCGGGACAGAGTGGAGGCACAGTGGCAGGGCAGTGTGGGCAAGCTTTCATCGCTGCTGCATGTGCAGAACTTGTTCTGTGAACACATGTAGGTCTCTAGGGCTATCAATTCAGCATCTCTTCAAAAAGAAGTAAAAAATGTCAGATGTGAGGCTTCTGTTGAACTTCTGACCGAGGCATGTTATATATTTCAGTATTTTCCTAACACTGGAAAGTATAAAATTAATGTTTACATCCAATATGATGAAATGACCTCTTGGAGGTCAAACTGTGTGTGAAATTATATATTTATCAATGAGAAGGTGCAGTGTTTGATCTCCCTGCTTGGACATTATTAGAAATTAAATGGGGAGGTTAATCTAATTCTTTGATAAACGGAATTTATATTATTATATCATAAATGGTGATCAGATTCTGATAATCTTTTCTCATGTTGAATTATTCCATGAATAGCCCCATTGAAGTTAATGAGTCAAATTGCGAGGCCCTTACCCACACTGATGCTAAGTTATTCAGATGTAAGCAAGGGGGTTACTGTCTGCCCGCAAAGTTATTTGCTGTGGCCTGCCAAGCTCCCTGCACCCGCCCCCCTGAGTTATTTCCTGCGACCACCAAGCTTCCCTCCCCTGCTGCCTCCCGCCCAGCCCGCTGTGTCCCAGCTCCTCTGCCTACCTGCAGGCGCTTCCTGCTGCCAAACACCTGTTTGGCGGTGCTTAGCACTTTCCAGGAGGGAAGAGGGAGGAGCGGGGACCCGCGCGCTCAGAGGAGGAGGCGGAGAAGAGGCGGATTTGGGGAAGGGGTTGGAATAGGGGCAGGGTGGGGGCAGAGTTGGGGTGGGGACTTTGGGGAAGGGGTTGGAATGGGGGCAGGGAAGGGGTGGAAAGAGGTGGGGCAAGGGCGGGGCCTCATGGAAGGGGTGAAGCGCGGTTAGGGGCGGGGGCAGCCGTGGGAGGGGTGTCAGTGATGTGGCCCTCAGACTAATGTGCTAGTCCTCACGTGGCCCTCATGGTGATTTGAGTTTGAGATCCTGGTCTGGACCATTGGGACTATTTGTGAAATCAGAAACTACTCAGCATGAGCAAGGCTATCAGAATCTGGCCCCTAAGAACTGAAAGGCAACAATTCAAAAAATGTAGTAGAAATCATCTTCACACATTGATACTCACCAGATAAAGTTATAGTTTCTTCTTTCAACCTCCATTCACTTCACTTCTTTCTTGTTTTGAATATTACTCATTATTTCTTTTCCTCACTCTCCTTAAAGAAGGTTTGCAGACAGGTCAATCGGCTAGCATAGCAGTACATTGCATAGTGCCAAGAAGAGCGACTCTAAAGAACTTGGAGGTAACATGGCATTACTTGCAGGGAACACTTAAATATTTAACATACACCCACATTAAGTTGCACAGTTATTATTCATTGTTAAACTAGTTGCTGCTTCTGGGGAGCAAAGCAAGCTATACCTTGGTTTGCTCATTTTAGGGAGTGTTTTCCATTGCCACATTAAAAAGATTCTAATCAGATTTGTTTTCACCAGCCCAAAAGTTTCCAAGTATAATCAAATCTCAAGTCATGGACATAGAATTCCTTTGAAATTAAAGTGCTTCTTTGGTATTTGTTTTGTAGGCTTTTAAAAATGTACAGAATACCTAACCATGATAGGGTCTGAACTTTAGTTTTTAATCTCTTATTATTATATTTTATTAAATATGTCTAAATGTAGCTCTTGAGAGAGGGCCTGGGGTGTGAAGTCCTCTGTTAATCACAGAAGAGGTACAGCCTGGGTATTAGCCGCACAAGCTTCCCCTCACTACTTGTTTAATGTGTCCCAGCCCTGCTATAGAGGCGTTATCTGTACGGATGAGATAACAGTTCTAGCTAGCTAAGGTACTTAGGTGGATCCCATTACTGTAGGTACTTAGGTGGATCCCATTACTGTAGTACTGGAACTTTTAACAATCTTTTTAAGATATATATCCTCGCTATGCCCCTGTGAGGTTGGGAAGTACTGATGTGCCCATTTCACTGGTGGGGAACTGAGGCACAGAGGGACAGACTTTGAAAGGTATTTAGGCACCTTAGGATGCAGTTAAGGGACTAGTCAGGTTTTCAAATGAGTGTTTAGGCACCTAACTCCCATTGATTTGAAATCAGTGGGAGTTAGGCACCTAGGCTCATTTGAAAATCCCACCAGGTACCAATCAGTATCTTTAAGCACCTAAATACTTTTACAAATCTGGCCCAGAGAGACTCCAATTGAAGTCAGTGAGGCTTAGGCACCTCACTTGCTTAGATGTTTTTGAAAATCCCACTAGATGCCTATCTGCATATTTAGACACCTAAATACCTTTGAAAATCTGGCCCTAAATGTCTTGCCCAAGGTCGCACAGGAAAGTCTGTGTCAGAGCAGGGAATTGAGTCCAGGTCTCCTAGGTTCCAAGCTAGCACCTCAGCTACTAGGCTATCCTTCCTCTCTGTTCAGTCTCTATAGCCCCTTCAGCCTTTGGACTCCATATTGCTA